CAGTGGCTCGTTTTATCGTATAAAATAACGGCGATCGCCCTCGAAGGATCGCGAACAGTTTACAAAATGTATTTAGAAGCAGTTCCCTTAGCCCTTCAACGAAGATTGCGTTCGTTCGTTACAGAGATTGTTACAATACGGACTGGTAACCGAATCCTCGAACAGGATTTCGTTCGATCTCATTAATAAATTTATTCTCTTCTTTCTTATAAAATACACGTAGATACACAAGTAGTTGGTTAAATAACTGTTCAAATCACGTAAGAAACAATTGTCGTATTACGTGTAGAAAAAGTATTCGAGTACTTTACTCGGTCCAATTTAATTAAAAAATTTCACGACAAGTAATAAAAAGTTTGGGAGGAACGAGCGTCTCTCGCGATCGTAAGACGCTCGTTGACCCATATTCTCGCTTAGATAAACTCCTCGGCATAAACTCCGGTTTGAATATGCCACTCTTTTTCATCGCGATTCAATCCAAACGACGCTGGAAATTTATACATTTCCACCGACGTGGGCGATTAAGAGGACCACTTGACGCGAGACTTTTCGCATGGAAATGGCCGCCATCTTGCCGTCCTCCCTTTAATTCCGAGGGGCTGTCGAGACGGCGAAGTTTTCAGTGTTTTCACGGAGCACTCGGACGACCGGGTGAGCTCTATTATAATCTGGATCTGTATTTCTGACTGACTTCCAGAGAGTCGGACCCCCTTGCAGAATTGAGTCGAGGCCATGAATAATTCATTCGCGAACGAACTGAAGCCTAGAGAGGGGGAGGGGGGAGGGGGGGGTTACAACAAGCAGAAGACTCCGTTTAATGCGATACACTGGTTAAAGGCGCGGCGGTTTACTGAATAAAATTTCTGATTGACCGGTGGCAACGCCGGTGACGCTGGTAGTTGGCGAACGGACAAGAAAGCGTCGACTCATGTACACCGCAGCAGCTCCTCTTCATCCCCTTTTGCCGGTCGTTCTCTTTTCCCGGGGTACTTGTACGGATTCGGGGATTTAATCGAGCATTAATGACGGATTGAAGGAAATTCTTAACGCGGCCGACGCGGCTCGGCGCTCGATTATTTCGGCTTGCTGATCGAGTATTCAACGCTTTCAACGACGCACTTTTTTTTTAAATGCAGTCGGCCCGGTAATTGGATAGACGTGTAACTTAAATATTGACTGACGTAATGCTCGCTCGGTAAACCATACAAAATGATATCGAGTAAAAAGACTGGAAAAACGAGAAATGCCTCTTTGCCCGACAGTTTTTTTTTCTCAGTGGAAACCACTGATAGCCACGTACACGCTGGATCGTAGATTTCATTAGACGTTCGAGAATGATTAAATTTCAGGCGAGAACACGAGCGTATCGTCTCAACTTTGTTTCCAAACACTGTCATTACGAAAACGTTTTCTAGCAAAAAGCTAGTTTTCTCTCTTCCTCCACCCCTCCCCCTCCCCCTCCCCCTCGCCGATGATGAACCTGTTTTCGCGCTAATAGTAATTTCCTGGCTGGCAAGGAAACCCTTTCGCGGCGCGCGGCCGAGCAAACAGGGTGTAAACGAACAATCGGGCCCTTTCGATAACATCAGCCCATTTACGGTTTCCCGTTCCTTCTTCTACCCGTTACCGCTGCGACCTGAAAGGATACACAGGAAGGAGCTGTCGTCCGCGGTCTAGGCTTTTACTAGAAAATGCACGCTTCTTTGCGCATCAGCCGGGCGTTAGACGGAGGGAAGGACGTGTAACGTGCAACACAGAGACAACAGGCAACAACGGGGTTCTCTCTGTGGGAACAGGGTAACCGAATACACAAACGGAAACCCCCGATGCGAGAGAAGGCAAAAGCCTTCTCTCGTCCGTGGACAACGGACGAGCTCGAGGTGATGGCTCGTGTCAGTTCACCTTATCTGACCGCGACTATCTGCCATTATTTCTTTTCACGCTGCCACGTTGGCGTCGGGCACTCGTAAGGCCTCGTACTCGGTATCCGATCTGTGAAACCGATGGTTCCGATCGATCGATCAAGCCCATCGTAACTTTGATCCATCTCTCCAGCCTACCATGGTTTTCCTTTCTTTCTCTCTTTGCCTCCTCTCGTGTCGACTTCCGTGTCGATTTTACGGGACCAGGCGAGCTCGACCTGGAGAAACTACGGACGAACTCGTTTGCCGACGATTTCGAGGCACAGATGACTGATGATTGCTCGACGTGGCTCTCGTTCAGCTGTACAACGCTCCGGTTTTACTTCGCGACGTTTCACAGATCGGCGATTCATCGCTTCCTATTCCGTAGACAGCCGCTAGAAAGCGGCTTTCACCGTTCATTTAATTGAATTCCATACAGGACACGTGCATTCTTTCTATTTGTCAATTTACCGGCTCCATTTATCGCCCGCGAATTTGTACCTCTTGCGCACGAACACCGATTTCTCGACTCTCGTTCATGGATCAATGCGAAACGGTGGGCTGCTGCGTGCCTCTTATCTAACATCGACCCGTAGTCTTTCCGTTCCACGACGTTCATATCGTTCTACTACGAGAAACGTTCCCCGTGGAACGATTTAAACCACGGGTTAATGACAAGTGTGGCGGAGAAACCCGCGATTATAACACGTCCGAGTGGTAACTAATGGCAATGCCCGACGACGAGCGATATCTACGGGCTGGTGATTAATTAATTATCGACCCCTGGGTACAGTCAAAGTATCGTCGGATCACAAAAGGGACGTGACTTTAATCTCGCGTTTCGCCGCACGATACCTGAGCCATGACTGGCAGCACGAGGGAGGTCATTATCAGATGACATCCATTATTTCATTCGTTCGTTTGTTCGATTTAATTACACATTCAATTTGGCCGGACATTATCGTAACTGCCCGCGGGGGTTTGTCCGATACACGCGCTCCTCAACAACCTGTAACTCTTTCAAACGTTTCTTACGCGATTCACCGAAATTGATATAATGGAGAGAGAGAGAGAGAGAGAGAGGGAGATGGAGGAGAGTCGATCGTTTGCATAACAATAAGCTCCGTTCGGGTCGTCCTGTAATCGTGCCTTAATTATGGTTCTCTGAAGACTCGAAGTTTCCATTATTACAGCGGTTGTATGCGAATCAATGGTTAGACGGGAATAACTGCGCCTTCTGGCTGCAAAAGTTTGGAGCGTATACGATAGCTCTTTCTATTCGAGTCTCTATTGGTCGGTATGTAGGTTGATTCTTATGGTTGTAAAGCGTAACGATGAAGCAGCACGAAGTTCGAACTGTGAATTGTGGATATCTCATTGTTAGAGTCTAAGGTTACCAAACGTTCAATAGGAATTATTATATATTAAAGTTTCTTCAATCTTCATTTTAATAAATAACGTTAATCAATCGAAATATAATTTTTAATTCGCGATCTTCGCAATTTTCATGATTAATATTGGTACAACTCTCTTTGAATAACCTTACTCGTACAACATTATTTTTCTTGACCGAGAAATATAACAGAGAATTATTCTGACATAGTCGAGAAGATTCGCTCGTAAAGTGGATTCTCCTCAATTTCAACTCGAACGATTTAACCCTATCTTCCCGAACAACCTGCCTGCTCCACGTGTCGTCCGAATAGCGCACGTGTCATTTAACTGGAAAGGAGACGCTCCCATTGGGCGTAATATCCATATTCCTGCCATAAAGGTGCCTCCTGCAATCCCGAAACTCTATTATACGAACGTTAAGCCCACTTTAACTATCGCGACGATTATTACCGAATACGATTGTCCGATAACAACGTCTCCGTTCCCTGACAAGCCACCGTTACAATGGATATAACGAACGATATAACACCTATGAAGACATTTCGTTAAAGGACCAAGAGGAAAAGAATGGAATCACGGTGCCCGGCTCAATTATCACGATTACCTCGACAAAAGGGAGTACCGAGATCGTTCGTTGCGACACCGCCACCCTCTTTTCTTTTTCTTCTTTTTGTTCTGTCGCGTCTCTCTCTTTCTCTCTCTCTCTCTCTCTCTCTCGTTTCCTGGGCGTCCGCGGGAAGATACGCGCTCTTTCAAAGGAAGAAAACCTTTACAAAGGAAGCAGCTTCGCGAGCACTCGAGGCTACGCTTGTGCGAGCTTGCCTTCTGTGCCAAGAATAATGGAAATAAAGAAAGGCATAATCGTTGTTCTCACCTCGTTCCTTCACGAGTTTGTTAATTACAATTCGTTCTTTTCTCCCCTCCATAGAATAACGAGAAATAAATCTTTGTTGGAGAACAAACCGTACTATAATTGAAACAAACGCAGACGATAACGCGTTTGTGTAGTGTCGATATGTATTTACGTACATACGTGTCGTTTCAACTGGACACATCAACGACGAGTTTCTTTCTACCACCGTTGATCGTGCGATAATTACACGATCGTGAACTTTAATGGTAATCAAAACAAATTAGTCGTTTGCCGTGGCATACGGTGATTCATTGTGCACCTCTGTCGACTGGGAATTCCGTTGGTTATGAGCTCGCGCGCTTAACAAGGTTGAACTGTCGAGCTAGATGTTAGAAGGAAGGGTGTTCCAGTGGAAACGAGACGTGGCAAGTCGATCCTCTGGCATTTCAGGTATGAGGAGAAACAAGTTTACATACGCGTTATACATCATGCAACGTTACGAAGTTCCAACGTGCTTCTCGCGCGACTGCCGACATTGCATTCTATGAAAAAGAAAAATTCCCACCCAAGATGCAATCTCGTGTTTGTGAATTTGTAATTTAATTTTTTGAAAGCAACGGAACACCGAATAAAGTTCTAATTGAAGTGCATGTAAAAGTAACTGGAATAAAGGAGCCGCTCGTAACAACCTTCGAGCTCGAGAGGGAAGGATCCTATCTCGGCGAAACAACCACGGACGAAAATAATATCGGACGGACGGTCCATTAAAAAGCAATCGCTATAAAACATCGGGTATCATTACGCGAATTCGCGTAAGGCTATTTCGTTTCGACGTGCAACACGCAAACTGCTCTCCCGACTGTTGTTGGCTACGTGGTAGCTGTCGCGACTGATTAGCGGATTAATCAGGCCGGCGATTTCTTCCGCGTTGCGATCGCGAAACACGTCCGCTTCGATCCGACCTTCGATTCGTCAACCAGACGTTTTTCCGTTTTTTCTTCCACGTAGCCGGTTCGCCTTGTTTTCACGGGCCTCGAGGCCCGAGTGGCATCTCGCCGAGTGGCATCCCGGTTGTCCGCGTCGTTAATTAGTCGCGGTGGAACGCGAGCACGCTCCACTATTTAGATATAAACTCGCGGAATAATTTATCGGCGTTTCACCGAGTTCAATCGGCAGCGAATTAAATCCGCGACTCTGTTAATTCGATTACCCGCAGTTTCGCGACGATCATTTTAAACGGTTAATTAACGCCGCTGCATTTCCCAACGATCATGCGACACGCTCTCTGTCGAAAGCAATTATTTCGTTTCTACGTGCGCGCGATTCGTGGTTAATACGGGTGTTTTCCAATTATCGTTTTATTAATCGAGCAACTAAAAACTTGCCCACGAGAGAACGGCTATTTTTAACCGCGCGTGTATTCCCTATGGACCACACGCACGTTACTCGTAGCCGCGGACGTTTGAAAATGATGGTACTACTTAAATTATAAATAGAGATAGCTCTTACGCTCCTAAGAATATCGAATCTTCTAAGTAACCGCGATTTATCTTACACTTCGTTGTGTTTCTCGTCTAAAAGTTTACACGTATAAACAGCTTAAAACGATTAAAATCACTTGGCAAAGTAGAATGTTGAAATATCGGCATTTCTTTGCCGTTTAATGAATCTGTAAAAAAACTACCACATCCTGTCATTAACCTAGTATCATACGCATGCGATGTCCTATTATATTTAAATACGCCTTGGTTGGTTACAGCGGCATGAAAAAGTATTTCAAACGTGTATAATTTGAATGGAGACGAAAAAACAAATATGGCGAGGTAAATATTCCTGCTTCAAGGTTGGTAATTAAATTGCAACATCCTGTGTATCCTCGGTGACCAGTCGATTGCCAAAGTCGAATCAGAGACGCAGAGAACGCCACGACTCGGGAGAATCGGTCTCCGAGCGGATAGAGGCTCGTAACGGTGTGCAATCACGGCGAATGCCCGCGGAGGAGTTTTAAATTACCGATTATCGACAATCGGGGCTAATTAAAAATGGCGCCGGCGGGAATCTAACTGGGAAGAAAGATTTCCCACCGATGCGATGCGAAGATGCCGTTTCTAGGCTAGAGGGACGACGACTTTAAATACCGTATATCCCAGAGGAAGGCGTGGCTCGTGCCTCGTTCCTCGGCTTTTTCTCCCAGCTACCTCTCCTTCCTTCTTCCTCTTGCCGTTCCACCCTGACCGTTGCACGTTACATAGTAGCGTCGAAACACGCGTTCAGTCGGGGCTGGCCCGACTGGCTCGACTTTCAGCTTATACATAAATTTCTCATAAATAACCAGCCGGATAATCAATGTCGATTATAATTACCTACCGCTTGTATCACCAGCCCTCTGATCGAACGAACCCGGCAACGACCCGAGATCGAATCTTTTCTGTATGAATTTCCAGCAACGAAACGACGCTAGTTGGAAACGATGATTATCGACCATTTAATCAGAAGTTTCGATAGTCTGCAATCGTCATCGGGAATTTCGACATATCAAGATGTTACGAGAGGCATTTGTCCTTTACAAGCGTTTATGATTATATATATAAAAAGGAAAGGATAGAAAAGTGAAAGGCTACTCCAGAGATTCGTGTTTAATCTCGGTAACCTGCCTTTGAAAATGATATTTCTCGATATTATGAGGTGGAAGAGTTAAATTAAACCATGATATGCACGTGGGAAATTTGAACGCGGAGAATATGCGCGTTATAATTCACATGGGTCGTTAATGCCGCATTGTATTGTGTCATATCGTGTTCCTGCCTTCTCTATGGGGGTGCAGTGGAATGTCTAATCTACCCTCGCACAATCAACGTACGTGTGCAATCTTCCTACTGGCAATCGGCCATGTACACGTTTATTGCACCGATGACCTATTTGCGGTAGTGAGCCGTGATTAAAAGAAATACTTCGCCAGTTTACCTCGCGATCGTAATGTGATTTATCAATTTTTAAACAAATCCGGCTCCAGATTAGATCTTTAATTGCCCAATGAAAATCAGATTACAATTTTAAGTTCTACAGTCTTGTCGTCTTGTATCGATCCAATAAATCCTGCGACTGAAAGGGAAAAGCAAGCGCAACAGAAAAGTAGCAATTCCTACAATGGAACTGTGAAGAACGACTGTTTAAGCACGTTCTTTCGCCCTTAAATTAGTTATTAAAACTGGAAAATTTCCGAGATTTAATAGAGTCCGTAGCTTACACTTTTTATTACATTTCTTTACATAATCTTGTGCAGCTTTCAATGGAACTTTCATCACGAGGAAACAAACTTTCAAAAAAGTCACAACGAAGTTCCTTAACAACGGTTAACAAATCAACGCTCAACCCAGTCTTTCTTACTCGACGTACCATGAAGCTTAAATCACGTTCTTTTTCGAATCTTACAAAAACTTTTTTCAAATTTCATCCGCTACGCTCAGCTACAACAAACTGGTAAAATGCAAACATCTTAACCGTGTTATACTCATTTCGACCTAACAATTTTCCAATTATAAGTTTATATAACTTTTTATTATTTCATCTACTCTATTAAACTCCAATAAATAACTGGAGAAGTATCTGTAAAGATTCTAACTATATTACACTCATTGAGGCCTTTGCACAGCATAGACCAATTTCCTAACATTACAGAAGCTTTCTAACCATTCATCTTCTCTGCTTTGCTCTAATAATAACATTCTATCTACATTATGCTCATTTAAGCCTCTTCGTACTACCCAACAATTTCCTAATATTACACAAACTTCCTAGTATTTCGCCTGCTCTACTAAATTCTAATAAATACTTCATAGAATACACTCTAGACACATTGTACTCCATTTCCTGCCATCTAACAATTTCCTCGTTTAAACTCATTGTTTGCAGAAAGATCACGAACAATGACCAAAAAAGAAAAAAAAAGAAACTTCATCGCGTTCAAGTTACAGAATTCTATCCACTAGTGGATTCATTTATATTCCTTTCATTCCCTGCGTAGGCTTAAACCTTCTTTCTCCGAGCAAGACACACGTAAGACGATTTTCACAGACGTTGAACACGAGGATTTCGCAACTTCGTTCCTTCGATTGAAGTTCTCGCCTTTCTTTCCTCACATTTTTGCATGTTGACGACGAGCCGCGATGCAAGTGATTCGCGGCAGAGAAACTGTTATCGCTACTAAACGATTTAGCCTCGTATTGTCCGCGACTTATGCTCGCACGTAGGCGAGCCGGCTCGCTCTCGCTTTCTTGTCAGCGCCGGCCAGTCAATGGAACTCTAACGATTCCTAAGCACCGTTGATTCATAGATGTATTTTTTTACGCTTGGCTAGCAAACCTGAACCTGCTGGACCACCGTCGCAAGCAAACGGTCACGAAGAAGAGAGTAGCACGTGCTTGCTGGTTGGAACGGCCTTCGAACGGGCAAGGAAAGAAAGAAATCGGACCGGAGCGTACGCTAATTAAGGTTGCGCCGCGAACCACGATCCCTTATCGGCAGACTAATCGATCATGATGCTCCCGCTACGTTCGGCTAATCGTGTCTTAATTAGTTTTCCATGCCGATCGCGATTCGGAGAATCGCCAGACGTTACTCGTTACCGGGGCTGACGGCTGCGCTTTCAGCCAAGGTTCGATTAATGGTTGAATTAAGAGGTCGGTGAACTCTACCTTTTTGCTATTTTTGGCGCGATTGTGGCGGCAAATTGAAACTTTCGTTATGCCCTTTTTTACTTTCGTAAGTAGGTGCTATCCTACTGGGATTTTTGGGAAGACACGGAAGTTATTGAAAAATTATAGGAATTTTTAACTATCCTGTCCTGCTATCCTAACTAATCTGTAAAGAATTCATAAATTGAATATTATGTGTGACAAAATTAAAAAAAAGTAAATCATTTTCAACTATGGAGTTAAGCTAGGAATTGTTATTTCATTGTCATCTATCTGCACGAACAATTTCTATAAATTCTCAAGTACTTTATCTTGGTTCAAACGCACCAATCGTTTCCCTGAGATCTAATTTGGTTCGACTAGTATCTAGGTGTTTTAATACCTAAGAATAGAAGCGTACTTTGTAACAGGATAAGCTCGAACCTAGAGGATAATTAACGCTTGGATTTGTGCAAGAAAGCATTCCTAGACTAGCCGATCATCTTTGGTACGAGGTCCGATATTTCCACAAGAAGATGGTCAGCGCTGTACCGCGTAATCGCAGGAGAACCGTTCGAGATCGTAGCCTCGAGGTCGTTCGCGAGACCTCTATTATTCTCGAACTCGAGCAGAATAAGAGCCAGTGAGCTCGAATGTTAAGCCACTCCCACGAGCGCCAGTGCACCGGAATGCGGAACAATGATTGACGGAAATTTGGCTTGGGAACGCCGACACGATAAAGAACGATAAAGAACTCTCACGAACATTTACGTTCCTTCCTCGTAGAAATCGCTCGCTTTCTTTCGACACTGGACAGCGAGTTACAGTCGAACGCCGGTGAACGCGCATCCTCAACGTTCGAAAGGATCGTCGAGAGAATACAGAGAGAAGTACATAGTCATGCGAGGTGAAATCGTTCGACGATCGACCGATCGATCGTTTGCATTGGGCTTCGACGATATCGCGCCCGATCGTGATCGTAGATCGATCGATCAACCGATCGCTACGATCCCTCACCACGATAGAAGAAACGGATTTTATCAACGAATGGTTAAAGTCGAACTTGCCGATTGTTCGCGTGATCCTGCGCTTCGCTTTTTCTTTCGGATAAGTGCATTCCCTTGCTCCGGGCGGCGAGAGTTTCTTGCTACGTGAACGCGTCTTGTTAGTCGAATGCGGCTAATTT